TTTCAGTGGATGGATGGTAGCAGAATTCACTAAGCATAGGAAGCTAGAAAAGGTCCAAATTTGAGAATGAAGTTGTGATTGATGTAGCTTTACAGTATTCAAGTGGAAAAGCCAAGAAAGGCCTTGAGAATAAAAATCTGGTGCTCAGGGAAGTTAAAGATAGAGCTGTGTCAGGAACCTGTCAGTACACGACCGTCACTGCAGCCCCACAGTGTTAGGTGGCCCACTGTGAGAAAAGAGAATGACTGGAGGGCCCACGACTGAGTCATGAGAACTGTGTGGACAGATGCTGAAACTAAACACAATAAACAATCTGACACCAAATTCTATTGTCCTGCAAAAATACAGCTTTTTATTTGCTGTTACAGTAACTATTTGTTATGTAACTCGTCTTTTGAATGTGTACTAGATGCTAAAGCAGAGATTATATTAAAGCAAATTTTTGAAAAGGCTCTCCTAGGTCTATTCTTTTTAAGAAATCGGGAATACAACAAAAATTTTCATCAAAATGTAACAGAAATATCTTTGACTGAAAAGACTGAGTCTCCTTTATATTTTACCTACCAGGGAATCACCTTGAAACCTTCTTTCCTTCTAACACAGTATAGATTCCAAACTCCGTGGCTCTGGAGTAACATGGAACACGGCATCTGGGTAGTTGTTTCTACTGTGACTTTGAGCCCTCGTCCATTAAACCCCATGTTTCAGTTTTAAAATATTTGTTGTTATTATGTTCTTGCACTTTCTAAAGAAGTAAAAATGGAAGTAAGTGGATAAAAAAGAGAGAGATTCTAAAAATCTTTCCATTAGGAATAATATAACTAAATCCTCTCTACAAAGAGACATTAACCCTTCTTCCTTGATACAACTGATGAGGTTTTTGACACCTCCAGATAACATCTGTTGCTCGACTCGCAGTTATGTCTAAATTTTAACAGCCTGATGCATTGAGGCAGGATAATATATATTTACTTAAAATGTATACAAGAGACTTGTTTCAAATGATCCACTAAGAAGCAGGATCATATTTAATCTGTAAACTCTACTTCTAAATTGTAAAAATAGAAGTGCTGAATTCAGCTAAAACACACACACACAAAGAGAGTCAGAGAGAGAGAGAAGAGAAAGAGGTGGTTATTTATTCCCAGCAAAGAATATTAGAATAGTACGCCTTCTTTGAGTATATCCACTTTCTTAGCTTTTAAATAATGGAATAAAGACCTGGAAAAGTGATAAGACATACCAAAGATGACCCAAGTAAACTGGGATGAAAAATGGTATAGGATCTAGTTCCCTAGGCATTTCTAACATCATACTGTGTGGAGATCTTATGTAATTATTCTCTTAAAATTTTCACATTTATTTATGCATTCATTTAAAAAATTATGAGCCCCAGCGATATGGCTATTTTTTAAACTCAGTGGTTATATATCCTGAGTGTGAATAAAATGTAAATAGAACATAACTTTTAAAATAATTTAAATTGAGTCCAGGAGACAGGCATACACATTAATTCAGTGTAAAACATGCTACTTTATGCTAGATGTGTAAACCAAGAGCAAAGAAACGGCAGAGAACATTTAATGCTTTTCAAATGAAACATGATGGTAGGAATGCATCAGCCCAAAGATTTCACTTGACTTAGGTTCTAATTCGATTTCATTTGAAACAAGCTTTTGCCTAACCAAGAAGAAAGTGTAAGCCAGAAGAAAGTAACTCGAACCCAATTGAAATGAAACTAAACAAAACAAAGGAGATCAGAAGAAGAGTCATGGCAGATGACAGTATAGCGCTTTGGGCCACATTGGGAAGGGCTTTGGGTCTTGTCCCAACGGGGTGAGATTGGATTAACCATAGACTGACACCTAGCACAAGGTTGTGGGCGTGGGGTTGATGGATTATGAACCTTTGTCAATAAAAGATAGGAAACTGGGAATACTGATGACAAACCATTAGGAACATGCTAATATGCTGATGTAATACATTGAAAGCACAAACTAAAGCAGATAATGTACTATAACCAGAGTGAGGATCCCCTGCAGTGTGCACAGGGTCCATTCCATACCACCACGTTTGGCTTTGTGCCTCAAAATGTGTCAGTGTTTGAGAAGAGTTACACTGCCTGATCTCAGCCAAGCAGCAGAATTCAGGTAACTGGGCCAAAGGGGATGCTTTTAGAACATAAACCACAGTTACTTCCCAGAATATCTGAACCGGGTAACCCAAAGTACCTAAAACTAGAATTTACAGCAAAGAAATGCTTCTTCTGTCTTCAAGTTTTCAATTATTACAGGTATATAGTAGCTGTATATCTTTACAGGGTAAGAAAGGCTTTTTCTTAACTCTTTGTAATTCCCTTATATAAGTGAGAGAACAAGTTGCTTACAGTTTTCTTTCCAGCCATCAGAAAGAGTCAGACTTTGTATATTTGATGCTCTTTGTAGATTTACAGTGAATAAAATTATGGTGAATAGATTCCAGAAGCCACAAGTCACTCTTTTACTTCAGTCAGCTCACTCTGAATGTTCTGGAACTCCACGCTAGCAACTCAAAGTTAGCAGGAAAAACAGTGAAGAGAAGACACTTTGTCTGTGGCCGTACCATAGTTAACTGCCCATGCCTCCAAGTTCTGTGTATGAAAGGGTAATTATGTCTCCTTCATAGGAGAGCATGTCACTGAGAGACGGGAGGCCTGAGTCCTGCTGCTTTCTTAGGGGTGGTGGGACAGTGACAGGCAGAACACCTCCACACAGTGCCTGCGCACACTTTCTATATCTGCTGTTCTCTTTCCTTCAGATCCCTCTGTGATCATCTCCCCATTCATAGAGCCTAGACTGGAGCAAGGAGTGAGAAAATTCTTGATACCTAACTGCTTTAAGATGGCAGTTGTGGGCTCGGCGCCTGTGGCTCAAGCGGCTAAGGCGCCAGCCACATACACCTAAGGTGGCAGGTTCGAATCCAGCCTGGGCCCACCAAACAACAATAATGGCTACAACCAAAAAAATAGCCGGGCGCTGTGGTGGGCGCCTGTGGTCCCAACTGTTTGGGAGGCTGAGACAGGAGACTCGCTTGAGCCCAGGAGTTAGAGGTTGCTGTGAGCAGTGAAGCCATGGCACTCTACCCAGGGGGACAGCTTGAGGCTCTGACTCAAAAAAAAAAAAAGATGGCAGTTGTGGAGATTTTAACTACATTGGGTGTCTGGTGTCAAGATGGCAACTGTGACGATTTTAACTACCTTGGGTGTCTGGTGTTGTCCTAGTGCAGGACCAGAGGAACTCAGCATAGTAAACTGGTCTTCCAAACTCAGCTATTACTCACTCCTTGGGAAATGGTTTGTGATGTTCTGTTTATAGCCACTGAAGCATGAAAAAGTGTTCAAAACCCTCCTGGAAATCTCTCACTGAACACATTTGTGATGGAACACATGGCAAGAAGTGCCATTTTCCCAGAGTGCTTTTGTGTCACCTTAGCAGGTTGGTATCACTCTGGTAGGACCCAGAGAAACAAAACAGCAGACACCAGTGGGAACATCAGATCCCATGGGCTGTCCAGCTGTGCTTTAGAGCTCAGGAAACTTCTACTCCTTCTGGAATCTGTCAGTTAAGACTCCAGCCCTTTAAAAATACTAGTAGTATTTTCATTTTTAGAACTTGATCTAGCGCTCTAGTTATGATCATTCTTTTTGTTTTAACTTTTCTCTGCAAAAAAAAAAATTAATATAATGGAAAATACCAATAAAGGATTTTTTCAGGGCAGTTATAGAGGTCAGGGAAACCTATTTATGTAGTTTTTCTTTATGATTATACCTCTCTATTTTTCTCCTTAGATTCCTGGATCTAATTATTTTGTGCATAAGTCTCCTTCTTGGAATCAAGAGCATTCATTTGTTATGAAGTTGTAGTGGCATTTAGTTATTATAGTAAAATAACAGTGGCCAACAGCCATTTCTGGAAGATTCTGTATTGAGTACCAGGAGCCATGCCTACCGATTTAGATGCTTCACTAGGATGTCTCATGGAACTCTTCCAGATACTATGACATAAATATTTTCACTGAGAGGCAAGAGATATGATCTAGATAAAGAAACTTTAAGAAGTAATTCAGAAGCTCAGAGGGTGTTCTTTCTTCACTCAGTTCAGTCAATTACATGTTTCCTATCCAAAGAAGTTATGTCCAAAAAGTCTAGACTAGGTTATGTTTTTAAAGAATACGTTAGTAGTTCTTATTTCTTAAATGCCAGTATTCATAACTCCAGGGTTGGTCTTCTCTTAATATGTACTGTAAATCCCACACTGATCAGCCTAAAGAATCAATTTCTTTGCAATACTGAGGAAACTGATAATCAGTAACTATAATGACCACATATAGATCCAGCTTGAAGAGCAAGGCAAGCAGATGCTTGTTAGTTTCTTCTCATGCAGAAAGAAATGTACTTCCTTTCACTAATTGCACCTAAAGTAACCACAGGAACTCAAGCCCCGTGCATACATAGGAAGACTTAGCATCTGTGTTTTCCTTAAATACAATGAAAGGAAATACAGAAATGCGTTTGTTGGCAATTCTGAGGGAGGACTGATTTGTAGAATAATTGAAACCTTGATTTCGGTCATTAGCCGGATGTTTATAAAATACATCTTCCTGCCTCCATTCCAGATGTTTCTTCTTATTTTAATGTCTCTTTGTCATGAGTTTGAATTCTAAAGTGTTAAGGGTCAAGGAAAAAGGCTTTAGTTTGCAAGTTGCATGGAGAATGACATAAGCTTAAACCCTCCCAAACCCTGCAACATTTATTTGTAGGTCCCTCCAGTTAGTTTATTTCTCACAGTCAGCCTCCGACGACTTGAGTAGATGCCCCAGGGTCACTATTAAATGAGTTAGCAACCTTGGTTCAACTCACTACTCTTACATGTTAAAATTTTTTGGCTAAAAAATTTTAGCCAAAATTTGAAATTTGGCTATTTCATTTTGGAATAATCTTTCTTTGTGACATTGATTTCCAGGGAACGAGCATTGAACACAACCCAGCCCGGATCCCTTCAGCTCACTGTGGGAAATCTGAAGCCAGAAGCCATGTACACGTTCCGTGTCGTGGCCTACAATGAGTGGGGACCAGGAGAGAGTTCTCAGCCCGTCAAGGTGGCTACTCAGCCTGAATGTAAGTACGGGCAGGGAAAGGCTGTTTTTAGATAGTATTTATTTTTTTCCACAATGCCCCATATCCATTCATAGAAATTTTTGAGGTACAGAATGGAAGAAAGATTTGTTTAAAGCAGCATACTTAACTCCTTTAAATTTAAAAGATTTTTTAAAGTAAGATAACTTTTTGACAAAATGGCCTTCTCACTTAGGCCGTGTTTTCATAATGGCAAAGTAATGAGTATAAAAGCCTAAAATCCTTCAATACAGTCGACATAATCATTTCCTAAGACAGAAACTTACTCTGCCTAATAGTATTTCATCATCATCATCATGGGTTCCAGGCTTCTCTATTGATTTTTCAAATTTTCTAAGTTTTCCTGTGAAGAGTATAACATCAAAGGTAAAAGAACAATGACATAGAACTTATAAATACAGGGACTTACTTAAAAACCTAAACATTCACAGTATGCACTCAAGAAGCTATGAAAAGTAAACCAAGACTTGAAGAATATGAGAAATAATCTCTATTGAGCATCATGACTATCCTCTAACGTGGAACACCTGTATTAAGCTTCTTGATCCTGAAGTAAGGCAGCCTGGATGTTCTTTGACCGTGCTATAATTCAGTGATTTCTTATTTTCATAAAGGAAGGACTCCAAAATTACATATTTAAAAAAAAAAGTTTCTGGACTCATAAAATTTTGCTTTCCTTATGAAGTTCCAATGTCTTTTTAAAGATTGACAACTGATGAGTCATTTGCCATTTTATTTTGTTTAAAATTTTAAAAATTGGAATCTCAAATCTGAAACCAATGAACGGCTGCTTGTTACAAATTGTCTTATTTTAGAAACCTAATTGCATCTACCTCGTTTTCCTTAAATCTATGATATTTTATTTGTATTCTTCTTTGTTTCATGCAAAACTATATTTGGCTTCAAAATCAGCTCACATACCTTTAGAAGGAAAGTAATAGTGAGCTTAGAAATATTTTAATTGGCAAAAGTGAAGGAATAGTCTGAGTTAAACATTCACTTCTTGGGTGATTTTAATCAGCATGTTGAAGAGAGAACAGGAGATGTAGTCCGGGCACCGGTTCATCTGTGCTTGACAAAATCTTCATCCTTTCTTTCAAGTGGCCCAGGCTACAGAGACAAGATGACAACAAATTATTGATTATCATTACTAATGATTAATTGGGGGGAGGAGAGAGGGATAAGCCATACAAACAGTGTGAACAAATATTTACCTCAAAGAGATAAAACTTCTGATGGCAACTTCAAAAACACAGCAAGGTTCAGGTTTCAGTTATTATTAGGAAATGCAAGCTTCTCGGTAGGATGAACAAAGTAATTAGCAGTTCAAAGTGAAAATGTAGGAGTACCCTGTTAAAAATTATTAAGAATTGGGCGGCGCTTGTGGCTCAAAGGAGTAGGGTGCTGTCACCATATGCCAGATGTGGCGGGAATTATAGGGTGGCTATAGCAGAACATTCAGTCACTCCAGTTGTAGTGTCTGTCTAGATATGAGGCCTTGCTCCTTCATGGGTATATGCCCAAGAAGACGGTCCTCTACACAAGGTTTTGTTCTTGAGACTGTATTGCCGCTGTATGGATTTAAATGTCTACATGATGCCAATTTTTACCTCACAATGTCTATATTAACCTTTGAGTCATGAATTTCTTCATTGATTTACTCTCCAAAGATCATATATGATCAATAACTTTTATGAATATTTGATATATTAAATCAATACAGTTAGGTCCCAAAGTATATTTTTAGTGCTATATGCCATTATACATACAGGCCAACAGCTTAAAAATCCTTCAAAAACCCTATAAAGAAAATTATTTTCCAATTTTTTAATATTGGTGCTTGAACTGTAGAAGCATGTTGATTTTCTGAAGTTTAAATTTCCATGAATTCTCTGAATTCTTCTCTACTTAATTCTAAGATTATCCCACAATTGCTTAAGTATACATTTGAATGCTGCTGGGCCATCACTACATTGCATTTCAGCTAAAAATCCTGGTTATTCAGCATTGATTTCTAAGAATGACCAATTTTTTTTTCTTTGATCAATATTATTACTTCTAAACATCTAACTTAAACCATTTTCAGATTTTTAAAAATGCACTAAAATATTATCAACATTTCCAAGGTAATGGGCAACAAAACATTTTCCTTTTTGATACTAGCAACAATACCTCCTTTCTTAAAAAACTTACTGATGGTAAATGCTGCTATTTTTAATGTAATCAATTAAAAAAATCAGAGTTAGTGATCATTTTGTCACATGTACGGCCGTAACTTTGTAAAATACAAACAGTGGCATAATTTGCCTTCTAGATGTGTTTAATGAACATGTGTCATGTTCCTAATACTGCTCCAAGTGACCTGAGGCGTCTTAGAGAATCACATGTGCATAATGGATTAGCACTGCTTATGAGCTCTGGAACTTTGGGGGGAAAAACAAATAATCTAAATACATAACAACAGCAAAACATGTCAAGTAAAGAAACTTACAAGAAGTAGTTAAATGCAACATAAACAATCCATGTCAGAGATCTGCTTTGGGGCCCATTATCTGGGACGGCTATGGCATATTACCTAGTTAATTTTTTACTCCAAAATCATATTGCATCCGTCTCCTCAAATTAGTCCTGTATTACAGGGATAGCTGGCCACATCTGTGCCTTATGTATCACGTATTCCTTTTCATTCAGAAAGCAGTGTGAAAAACGTGTGCAAAGGATCTCACAGGACACTGGTCTTTACGAACATTTACTTTGCGTAACAATTAGCATGAATGACGTTAAGGTACAAAATAACGAGTAAACCTTAACTGACCAAAACAGGGTGAAGGTGCTATTGTTGTTACATCTAAGTTCTCTTCTCTAGAAAGAAAAACGAAGTCCCTTTCTGCTTTAGAAACATGATGTAACCTTGACTTTTTTTCATTCAGGACAGCAGTTACAGCCTTAGAATGCTAACCATGTTTTGGCCTTAATAATAGCATCGTCTTATGAAATTATGTCTGCTCTTCCCTATGTGTGGAGTAAGGATTATTTCTTTGGCAGGGCATTGCTGATTTAGCCCTGTGACTTGATTCTGTCTCTTTGAGGATTGTGACTGGCTAATTGAGCCCTTACTTGAGTAGATGTGTAGATAGGAACAATACAGCCATACAGCCGACATAAACCAGGCATTCAGAGTATGCTTTATACGTGCAGAAAAGTTAGGCAACTCCGTTTTATTTTATTAAAAGTACTGTGTTGCTGTCTTTAGTACAGATGTTAGGATAAATACGCTATATTATCATGACTGATAGATAGTGCTTCTGTATTTTATCTTCTGTTGTTAAAATAAAGTGTCATATTGAAAATTTTAAATTATGTCTAGAATAAAGAACACTTCATCTTTTCCGAGCCTGCTTAGTAATACACCAATTGCGTCGGAAGACGGGACGTCCCTGAGATCCTTTGCTGCCTCCCTGCCCCCTCATTCCTTTTCATTTGCTATACTCTCTCTTCCCTTCTCTCTCTTCCTCCCCGCCTTTCCGCTCTCCCTCCTTTCCATAAGCCAATCTTTCTGTCTTTTTTAGAGGAAGTGCAAAGGCCAATTTTATTATTTGGCTAGTCTATCAGAATTTAGAGGCAAAAGGAGGGGAAAAAATGTTTCCAGCAATATTTCTCTCTTGGACAAAATGATCTTTATCTATTGAAGATGAGTCTCGTCTGGGTATACATTTAGCTGCTTCTTTTATCACGGTTTGGCCAAATGTGATATAGTAATTGTACACTAAAATTACATAGCTTTTATACAAATTGAATTTCAAGTTTTTCATATTATTTGAAAATACCAACTCTATTATGAAGACCATATTCTCAAAGAATAAAAACTGATGGAAAATATGTCTGAAATATAAATCAGCCAGCAACTCTTTCTAAAAGTGCATACATTTTAGAGTAATCATTTAAAGAGATCAACAGCCCGAGATCCAGTCTATGAAATAATCACCCAGAACAGAAAGGCTTGATTTATATGAAGGTTTGTGTCCCCTGATTGTATCTTTCTTTTGCAAAACCTTTGCTCTCTCTTCCCTGCCTTTATGGTATATAATTTCTCTACTGTATTATCGGCCAGGATTTTAAAGTCCCTGCCTGCTTAAGATTTGTCTAATCTTTTCATACCACATGTGGCGAATTTCTGAATTATTAGTTGCAGTCCCTTAAGATGCTGTTAAGGCAGTTTAATCACAAAGGATGTTAAAATGGACCACATACTGGCTTGAGGGCTTGCGTTAGAATGGGAAGCCTATTTGCAAGACCACAACTCAATTATCTACAAAACTCTTTTATATTGCAGAGTTGTAAGTAATATTCTTAGTCTATTATATTCTTTACACTAAAAAGATGAGTATAAGCAACCTTCCCCCAAGTTGGGTGTCTTCAGAATATATTATCTAGAGGAATAGACTGTATTTGCTTCTTTCTTCCGCCCCTATTTTTTTTTTTTTTAATTCTAATAGGGCTCTATTTCTATGGTTGTCATGGAGAGAACAGAGAAGTTGAAACCATATCTCTAACCATTGCTACCTGTATCCTAGAGCAAATTTCATAATTTATTGAGACCTTGGTTTCCTGAACTATAAACTGGAAATATTATTTACTTTTCCTCTTTCTATTTTAAATGTGATAATGGATGGAAATCCCCTGGTTCTTACCTGGCTTCCAGTAGGCATTCAGTAGAAAATAGTTCCCTGACCCTAGGGAACTAATTTCACCTGTCCTATACTTAAAAACTGGGATACTCACAAAAGTAAGGCTAACATAATACCTTATTTACAGATTGGGTCCAGTTTGATGAAGATCCAGTTGGTACATCTATAAACTTTATTACCTTATCCCTAATTAGCTCCTCCTTAAAATTTGGAAGACAATTACAGATTGCCCTGTTCTCTAATTTTGCTTACCATACATCTTTTTATTTTGAAGTTTAATAACAAAGAACAGAG